GTCTGCTCTGATACCACTTGTCACGGACTAAGAGTTTCACACCCAAGAGACTAACCTGTTAGGTGGAGGGGCTCCCCTATTTATAAGCCTAGAACCTTCCCAATACGCTTTCGCTTCAATGTGGGATTGATTACAAAAACACTATCAGATTGATTCCCTATATACCTTTTCGGATATTCTTTATTGTCATTGACATAGTTTTTTCGTATGGTTTCTCACACACTCTGTTGCCTGCACAGAGGATCGAGCTCGCATTGAAGAGATTCGGAAGCAACATAATATTTTCCAATGGGATGCAAGATCCATGGAGTAGAGGAGGGTGAGTTGATCTCTTTTCAATGGTTATTTTGATCATTTCATTTGTGTTCATATCATAATTATCTAATTGATGTGTATGAATTTCTCAGTGTGCTGAAGAATATATCTTCTAGTATCATAGCTCTTGTCACTAAGAAAGGTATGTGTATCATTAATTCAATACTTCATTAATCAACATTATGCGGCCTGGCACTCAAAATTGTCGTTGTGTCTTCCTGATTAGGAGCTCACCATGTCGATTTTCGATTCGAAACAAAAGATGATCCAGATTGGCTTGTAGAGCTTAGAAGACAAGAAGTTGACATCATTCAGAAGTGGATACATGAGTACCATGCAGATGTAAGACAAGGATAGTCAGTCAATGTTGCAAGAGCTCAGATTTGTAAGAACTTGCAGAAGAAGTAAATCAATCTATTGAAACTTCTTTATCTTGCGAAGTCTCTTGTCAACTATCTCACAATCATAAAAATTATATAAAATGAATGCATATTCAACCAATCAATGCATTTTATTGATTGTTTGTTATGTGCAGTAATTGTAAAAAGGATTTTCTTTTAATATACTGGGTGGATGTTAAACTAAAAAAACAAATGTTAGCATCAGTCATGAGTGTGATGGTTTTTAGCTCTCCTAATAACACATGCCCCGTTTCACGAAAACTAATTAAATTATAATTGAAACACATGCTAAGTGTCAAAACCTTTTTTTGTAGCATCGTGACAAGAGCAATAAGTGTGGAGAGCGTACGAGAGATTGAGAGGTTTCGCGAAGCATTCACATGGGATTTGACACCTAAGACATCATGTGTTTCCTCCTAACACATTCACAATGCTTCATAAAACTCTTTAGGAGAGAGATGCTCAGTGAAAGGGGAGTGTAAGTAGTAATGGCAATAGGCCGGGCTGGGCCGGGATCTGGTATCCCTTAGCCCAGACCCAAGCCTAACCTCATGACAAAAGCTCAAGCCTGCCCAAACACATCATAGGTATGACAGGTAAAGCCCAATTTTTGTAATCTCAGGTCCGGCCCAAGCCCGTCCATTTTTATAATGTGAATTTTTAAATATTAATAATTTTTTTTTTATATTTTTAATTCTAAAAATAATTTTTAAATATTAATTTATTTTTGAATAATCATCAAATATATAAATAACTTTCCACCAAAGTGCATATATTCATCCATGTAAGGTTTGGGAAATATGAGTATATATATATAAGATAATCTTGTAATTAAATATATAGTATAAGGGTAATTTAGTATAATTAATACTAAAATTATCGGGTCGAGCCAGGCCTGAAGACATAACCAGGCCCGGCCTGTACCCGAGATCTGGTCAGGCCTTAAAATTAAGCTCAGGCCCAAGCTCACGAACATCGAGTAAAGCCTAACCTTTTCGGGACGGGCCAAGCCTATACCCAAAAATATCGAGCCCATTGTCATCTCTAAGTGTAAGAGCTATTCTTCATAGTCGACGATGAAGAATGGATTAAATCATCCCTACACAAACTAGTCGGGAGCCCTGATGAGTCCATGGCAAGACGAAACCAATAGAACTTGAGCCGATGAATGACGTAAATGTAGGCTTAGCCCGACTCAAGTGTAATGTTGAGGTGCAACACGGATCGTTCCACTGCATCGAAACTCTAGGCCCGTGACACAAGGCCTATAAGTCGCACTTACAATTGACGCTAACGCCCCTCAAATTAAAAATCTATCATTTACATATTGGTTTATGATATAGCTAATGCAACAACCGTCCTATTATAACTTTCTACTTGCTTGCAATTGCAAGTTTTTGAACAAATAACAATACTACATTAAGTAATAGCCCCTTCTTTAAATGCATACACAATTTTAGTTAAAAACTACATTTTTCTCAAATAAAGTACATGGGGTAACAGGTTAAACTTTCTAAATTAATATAAGATACTTGATCAAAATCTAAGAAGCTCTTCTCTTCATAGACATTAAATAAATATTTTTTAATTAGGAAAAAACAATTAAATGAATTTTTGTATTAAAATAACAGCAATTTATTTTCAAAATATAGAGAGGGCTTTGGATTGAATAATAAAAATCTTCATTGGAAAAAATAATTAACTGAATTGATAAATGATAAACCCACCGGCACAATAAAAAAGATTAATGAATAAAATTGGACCCACACGCATTGATCGAAA